TTGAGGAACAGGTGGGTGGGTATACATGAAAATGTAAATATTAAATAAATGGCAGTGAATACAATGTTCTTGGAAATTACCGTGCCTCAATTTATTGTTTGCCAATTAAGAAGTTGCATAATTAATTTGATGCATTATATATTCTATTGAGCAACACTTGTGTCCGGGACACAAGCAACACCCCCCCCCCCCACCTTTATGAAAACAATCCTTTAAATTCAATGTATCAAGACTTGTTGGCGCTGAGAATTAAATCCTTACCTGAAATTCCAATCCATAAATAACAGGAGCATCATCTTCCATTGCCTTCGAACTAATCGAACACAAGCTAATTCGAAAATTGTATAAAAACAACGAGAGTGAATGAATGATTGCAGAAACCGGAAGTGCACATTTGTGTACCTCGTGACGGCTGCTTAAGTGCACAATTTTGCAGCAATAAACACACCCCTTTGCGATATATACGACACTTCTAATGACGTTGTTCACATACTGTGTCACAGGACTCTTGGTTCGGTTTGGATGATATTTCTGTCGAATCTGTTCGTTAAACGAAAAGAATTTTACGTTCGGCGATGGAAGCTGACATCAACGAAGCCAACGTGAGTATCAACATTGAAAGTCCATCAACAGATCGAGGAGACGATGATGGGGAGACGGCGAATACAGGTGCCATCGCAGGGATTGGAGGGGCGGGGTCAGAAATCAGTCATAATATTGACGAATTGGACGAACTAACTGTTGCTACTGGCCATTTAGATTTAGGTGAGTTTGCTGGCAGTGAAGTCGACTTGACGGAACCCTCTGAACCTCAATTCGAAGATGCTTTTCCAGTTGAAACAGAAACAGAGGATAGTGAGCAACAGCGCCCTCAGCAATTGATCGATGGATTTGAAGCTGCAATTAGCGGCGATTTCAATAATTTACTGACTGAAAACGAAAGGCCGCAGGAATTCTTGGATTGCGTTGATAATGATGACGATAACAGTGATGAAAATGATGAAAATAAAGTTACAGAAAATATTGAAGAAGCAAGCAATACAGTTGACGACCAGCAACAGTCGGAAGCAACAGATCAGTTGGAGAAAGAACCTCCTAAATCTAAAGAGTCCACCTCTCCTGTCGATGAAGAACAGATTACTGAAGATTCGCTAGATGGTGCATGTGTTAGTTCACAAATAAAAGATGTTGACACTGGAGACATGCAACCAGTTAGTCAGGAGAAACCGGACAACTCAGAGACGAATGTATCAAACGAACCAGAACTAACGACTTGTTCTAAAGTGAAAAAGACAATATCTGTTGAAATCCCTAAACGACCAGATGATGGGTTTGAAGTGCAGCTTGTTGGGAGTCCTGGGAGTAGTCTATTAGACCATCTTAAAACCACTCAAGACGTAGATCCCCCTGAGACTAATACAGCTGATCGTAGTAGCGATGTGGGTGTCAGGAAATTCTTCACAGATGAGGTTATAGGCACTAGTGATAATATTGAAGGGAAGAATTTCTTTGATTCGTTCACAACCGGCGGATTAGATAGTCTTGGTGAATCTTCTTCATCAATTGGATCTCGTCATAGTGGCTCATTTTCGCAAGTTGAAATACCTTCACCGAAAGATAACTTTCATCAGGTGATACCGTCAACACCGCCCATTGACGAAGTGTTTTCCAGTATACCAGCATTCCCCATACCAACCAGCTCACATCAGCCGTTTCATCGTTCAACATCTTCAGAAGGTGACGATCCATTTGCAGCGGCTATCAAGCTGAGTGATGTTGACAGACGGTACAATGCGTGGATCCCACCAGAGGCAACTAGACAAGTACTAGTTGCCAGGGTAACCTCCCCAGGTGCCATTATTGTGGATCCAAATTTGTTAACGATGCCAGCAGTTTTGATGGAGGAAACTCAGGTAAAGTCATCATGGGCTTGAAATGTTTCATTTCAATTATTGCATGAAATTTGTAATGAATGCTTGCTTGATTTAATTTACAAAATGTTTTTAATTAACATGCTCTTTACACCAAACCCTGTTTAATCCAAGAATCTATCTATTAGAATCGAGCATCTTATCCCTTTACTCCCTTTACCCTAGTTTTAATGTCGAGAAATTTAAAATGTATTGGACTTAATAATCAAACCATCTTATCTGCATAAGATGTGTGGTTTAATGGTTAGCATGTTTGCCCAGCATGTGGGTGATTTATGGGTTCAACTCTCGTGGATGGCTCTCACTTAGCAGTGAAAAATTAGTACTGTAAAAGGATTAATTATTCACTGGGTTTTAATTTTGCTTATTTCACTGACTTGAAAATGCGCTAAATTAAAACCCAGTGAATATGTAAAATTTAGCGTAGAACACATTATCTAAATGATAAAACCGTGAAATGGTAAATCAGCGAAATTTAAACCCAGTGAAAATTACCGTAGTCATTTTACAGTACATTCTTGTCAGGCACATGGCATTCAGGGTTGGGAATTTAGCGTCTAGTCTAGGAGGAGATGTAAACTTGTCGGCCCTGTGTGCTCTTTCAACCCTTAGTGCACTTCAAAAATTGTAACATCACTTTAGCCCGTTGATCTGCATAATAAATAAATAAATATAAAATAAATTAATAACAAATTTACTATTATGCAAACATTAACATTGATTAATATTGAAACTTCATTGATAATGTCTTTTTCCATATTCTTTGTATTTAAACTATAAATGTATTTTTTTTATTATTGAATTTTTCAGGGTGACCCAGTCAAAGAACTTGTGCATAAATTCATGGGGGAACAAGAAAGTAATAAAAGACAAGTTTTGACTCTGGATACTGTCAGTCAAAATGAAGAAGGCCTTCAGCAACTTATTGTAAGTCAATTATTTGAAATATTTGTCCAGAATCCGGAAGCCTAACTGAGTATAATCATAAAACGTAGATTTACAGCAGGTGGTTTAATTAGTAAAATAGGTCATGAAAACATAAAGACGTACACGTAGATGTTTTTCGATGAAATGTGAAAATTATGTGGATTGATTATTGTTATGTTTTGAAGTTTACAGTAAATACATTAATTATTCACTGGATTTTAATTTTGCTACTTTCGCTGATACGTGTAATCCACTACATTAAATGAACATGAACATCAACTCATTGTTTCTCGCACAAAATAAAGAACTTACATTTGTAAAACCCAGTGAATACTAAAAACATCAAAATAGTAAAAATAAATTGAAAATTAAATCAGTATCTTTTCCTCTGATATGTAAATGAGAAAAAACAAGCTTAATTAATCTTGTCTGTTTATTTGGTGATGTCACAAGCAATGGCCATGGATTATAGGTTATTTTTAAATGCTTTTACTCAGATGGATTGTTGTCACCAAGGCTGCCTCAAACACTGAGACTATTGGACCACAAGGTTAACCAATCACTGTGCGACGTTCATACACTTAAAGTTGTATTGTCGGCAAAGTTTAGCTAGAAGCTTTTGACATAATAAACAGCGATGATATTGGCAAGATAACCACCTTGTCAATTGCCGAACATTGCATAGCGAAGATTTTGATTAAGTATTCTTAGGGTGTCATTAAGTAACTGAATTGCTTGCAGGATTCTCTGTTCAACAAATGAAGATGGACTATACATGTATTACACAACCAATATTTGGTGTAAAGCATTTTTCCTTAAGATTGTGCACTAGCCTATTGAGTGGCTTCCTGCATAAGCATTAGATCTCTATTTTTTAAATTTATCAGTGTGTTTGAGCAAATTCATTAGTTATAGTGTTTAGCGTGGTGCAAATGCACAATCAAATAGAAATGCATGATGGGATACATTGCAGTGAAGGCAATAAACAACATCATATGCTAGCTTCCGGGTTTTTTTAGTGTTTGATGTTTAGCTGAGTTACTCAATATGGAAAGGGCTTTCAATTTATAATAATTCAACTATATTATGCTTTATTTGTGAAAATATGACCTTCCACAAACAGCAATGTTTTCTCTTAGGCTGCTGGATGTTACCGCTCTGCTATCGATTTAACAGCTCGTATTCTGGACCGCTATAATCAAGGCATCGGAGCTCTTGGTAAACAATCATTGAACACTCCACTTACACTACAGGTACGTTGAGAATATAAAAATTTCGTGGAAAAATTAAAGGCATAATATTACAGCTACTGTTCAGTGAGTTCTACATGCTGCTATTGACACAACAAATCCTCTCTCTTCATTTTCATAAATGTGTATAAATTGCAGTACTGATTGAATTCAACCAGGCAATCAATGACGTCATTTGAAAACATTCCAGTGTTATTCCATCAGCCAATAGAAACCTCTCATTCTAGTTTACCAGTATATTGTGAAATTTCTAAATGTTTATAAAAATTATAGGAATGGGTTTGTTGTGATGATAGTATTGGGGTGGTATATCAAACAAATATATTAAAAAATTAATGTTTTTAGAAACCTCTCATTTTAGTTTATATTGTGAAATTTCTAAATGTTTATAAAAAAAATAGGAATGGGTTTGTTGTGATAATAGTATTGGGGGGTATATCAAACAAATATATTAAAAAATAAATGTTTTTAGAAACCGCTCATTTTAGTATATATTGTGAAATTTCTAAATGTTTATAAAAAATATAGGAATGGGTTTGTTGTGATGATAGTATTGGGGGTATATCAAACAAATGTGTTAAAAAATAAATGTTGTTGTTCATTTGAGCATCATATTTTTGCCTGCTAAAACTTTGGTGCGACATTTTGCTCGTACAGATCTTGATTTTTAAAAAAATAAGAAAAAAATTTATTTTGTGAAAGATAACAAAAGTTGTATTTTGTAGATATGTGTTTTGTTGTAGATATGTTACTGATACTGATATGTTCTGTAATATTTTCCTCTTAGATATGGTTCACCAGGATATCGTTAATGATGAAACTGAGACTATTCAGTGCAGCAGAGGCAGAGATTGAATCATTTGGAAACTTAGACAGACCCGATTTATTCTTTGAATTTTATCCTGATCTTTATCCTGGAAAACGAGGTATGTACTTACTGATCATGGAATAAACACTTTTCTTTCTTCTTTTCCATACTTCCCATATTCACATTACATTTTGTTTATAAAATGTCAATTTCAATTTTACAAATTTCTGCTGATGTAAATGTAAGATGTTTTCAAGGTTACTATATCAATGTACAATTTTCAGTTGCGACAATGACGTGCCTGTGAATTAGCGCAACTTGTTGTGTCAGTGATGTGTTTTATCAGCTTATAGGGCAAACTGGAACAGACCAGATTTCTATGATTATGTAACGTTGATATGCAAGAAATTAGAGGATGGTACTGTATAATTAATCCAGCTAAAATAATAAAGTATTGATGCAGCATTGAAAAAAGAAACTTATGGCAGCAGCACATAAATATGCATCGCCGACAACATTCTGCATTCATTTCATTCACAACTACAGCATTCAACCATATCCAGCTGCACTTCACTCCATCATCATGTTATACTAGTATTAATCAGTATATCACCGAGGGTGTGATTTTGATTAGTACTGAGCATTCAGGCAGCTAATCTTGAGTTTTGACCTGACTTCTTATTTCACCTCATGCCGACTCTGTCCCGACTGTTTACACACACATTATACACACATGCTGACTCGTTTCTGACTCTCGGCACATGCTGAGATCTGTAACATGAATGCCACTATTGAGTATACTAATTGCATAAAGAAGTGCACAGGATTTATTATGTTTATCATTCGTATAGGTTCTATGGTACCATTCTCATTCCGTGTGTTACATGCTGAAATACCGCAATACAATAGCAAGGCACAGGAAACTATTGATAAGCTGTATTATTTACATGCTATAGTTACTAAGGTAAGAACAAAAAATATACCTCTTTTGTGTTTGAGATGTCAGCATAATTATCATATGAAAGTACTGGCACTTGTAAGGCAGCAGTCCAGTGTAGTGGTGCAACAATCTAGCATAGTGTTATAACAGTCGAGCATAGTGCTGCAGCATTCTAACCTAGTTGTGTAACAGCCCAGCCAAGTGCTGCAGCATACAAGCACAGTGCTGCAGCATACAAGCATAGTGCTGCAACATACAAACATAGTGCTGCAGCATTCTAACCTAGTTGTGTAATAGCCCAGCCAAGTGCTGCAGCATACAAGCACAGTGCTGCAGCATACAAGCATAGTGCTGCAGCATTCTAACCTAGTTGTGTAACAGCCCAGCCAAGTGCTGCAGCATACAAGCACAGTGCTGCAGCATACAAGCATAGTGCTGCAGCATACAAGCACAGTGCTGCAGCATACAAGCATAGTGCTGCAGCATTCTAACCTAGTTGTGTAACAGCCCAGCCAAGTGCTGCAGCATACAAGCACAGTGCTGCAGCATACAAGCACGGTGCTGCAGCATACAAGCATAGTGCTGCAGCATTCTAACCTAGTTGTGTAACAGCCCAGCCAAGTGCTGCAGCATACAAGCACAGTGCTGCAGCATACAAGCACAGTGCTGCAGCATACAAGCATAGTGCTGCAGCATTCTAACCTAGTTGTGTAACAGCCCAGCCAAGTGCTGCAGCATACAAGCACAGTGCTGCAGCATACAAACATAGTGCTGCAGCATTCTAACCTAGTTGTGTAACAGCCCAGCCAAGTGCTGCAGCAGTTGAGCATAGTACTGCAGCATACAAGCATAGTGCTGCAACATTCTAAGGGAAGAGTAGGAAATCAAACGGGCGGTGCACCGCGGTCATTACCGCGGTGGTGGTGGGTGCTCGCCGGTCGACCGCATTTTATGCAAATTTATGCATAGATTCCATGACCCGGGTTTACCGCGGTCGTGTGCGGTAGGCTCGCACAGCAATTCACACTTATTGTCAAGACCATTAATGAACACAAAGAACTGGGAAATTAAAAGGATCACAAAGTTCTAATGAAAAATTAAACCAATTTGGCTGAGCCAAAAGTTAGGAAACTAGTCTATAATAGTTCACATTATTTTATTTGCCTGAGCTTTGGAATAAAATCACAAAACGATCCAGGAAGACGTAGAGATCAACATAATATAAAATAAGATCGCATTATTTTGTGAATATATATCATGCATGGTCTCAGAAAAATGTTTTTTTTTTGTGTTTACACATTTTTTTTATGGGC